CATTTTATTAACATTTTTTAAAGAAAAATTTAAGATATACAATGAAATCATATTTTTTTAGTCAGAAAATTTTTTAAATAAACATCAAAAAGAAAAAATTTTTAGGATTAAAGGAACTCGGGACACGTATTATGGGATTGGAATGGATACTTCTAAGGAAAACGGAATTACTTCGTTGTATTGTATTTTCTAAGAAAACGGAATTATTTCGTTTTTCTAGAAAATACAATAGAAATTTAGAGAATAATTGAATAATTCCGATCAGAATCTGTTCCGAACAATTCCATAATACGTGCCCAGATTTTTGTGTAGCTACCTTACTGTTGTAAGGAGATCATTGCCCTACTGAAAAGGGATAGGTTTCCTTTAGCGTTACCTGCTGAGGTGGTTTCTTTACGATCGGAACTTTTTGTTCGACTATGTTCAATCCCTCGCATAGTTTCTGGTCAACAGCACTGATTTGTCCTTCGAATTTCTTGGCCAAGGGTGCAGCAAGCGGCGCGGCTGTGGCGGTCGCATAATGCAGCCCTGCTTCGGCTTGATTCAACGCCCAATTTACCAAATGATGAGAATCTTTAACGTAAGAATATGTAGATCCTGTCTTTTCGATCGCTGAATGGACTACCGGAATGTTTTTTACTCTGCCCAACACCTCAAGACGAGGACCTTCGGAGGAGTTTGATGTTGTTTTAGCGGCATCTGCCATTTTTTCTACAAAAACCGAATTAAATTAAAATTAGTATTTATATCGATTATTATGTATCGAAAATGGCATGTATCAAATTAAAAAAAAATTTTTTGAGAGAAAATATTTGTATTAAAATATACTCAAATCTGATATATATACACATATATATGTGTATGTATGCAACACACAAATTTAAAGACTGTGCCTTCTTAAATTTATAATTCAAATTTCAAAATTTGTTTTATGCCATTTTTCAGACAAATATATTAATACAATAACAGTATATATATAATGTAGTACAAATAAAAATTATATAGAAATGTTGTGAAATTACACTGTAACAGTGCACGATGGTATGTGCGGATGTCAATTAAATTCAGGACATTGAGTCATTTGCGCTAAACTTTTTTTAAAATATTTAAGTGGTTGTACGACGGTAATTATGTGCATCACGCTCGAAAATGCACTCAAATATTTTAAACAGAAATGCATGTATTTTTATGCATGCATTTCTGTTGACCAGCAAGTATTTTTTGCAGAGATCTTTGTACCTTCGGTAGTCGGTGAATCAGACTCGTCACTCATATCGTTATCTAAGTATGTGTCAAGCCAGATATGTACTTTGCTACCGTTGTTTATATATAGCTTAATGACCAAATTTCCTCCATCTTTTTCTTAATGCATCTACATGCGTGCGATCGACAAATTAAAAAAACAAAAGAGGAAAACAAAAAATATACCAATAAATAAAATCATTGCGGGACATATATTGCATATGTATGATACCATAAATGTTCACTATGGTATCTCACACATTTATCCACATGTGCATAACAGTGCCGAAAAAAAGGACGTAAAATGTAAAGCAAAATCAAATATTTAGATTTTCATTACACGAACTAATGTACTCAACTGATCATGAGATTATGCGCGTAATACATGACTCATCCGCTGGAACAGACGAGGAAATAGCAAAGTAAAATTCCGCGTTGCTATTGCGTTGCTGTTATAAAACGTATCTGTACAAAATATTTATTTGGAAATAATGTTTTTCTTGTATTTCGCATCTTTCTTGACTTTCTTTAAACATATCGCTTTCTATAGAAAACATTTTATTACGTCTTTCTTGTAATATTTCAACTTTATTAATTTAATCTAATTAATATGTCCTAATTCCTCAGTGACATTTTATCTGTTATTGAATGAAATTGTGAGATTCTTTATGTACTTTGTTTATAGAAATGTTAATTAATAAAATATTTAATTGTATTTAAAAGATTATTTCCACATTATACAATTAATTATTTCTCAGATTATTTTTAAAAACTAATTCTTATAATTTAGATTCTATATAACAAATTGCGACAATCAGAATGCTAATTGTGTGTGTATATATACGGAAACAATCTATAAAGCAAACCTTCTCTTTTGTCCTAGAAGATTATTGATGTTTGTTGTGAAATATTAACCTCAGCTATGGATCACACATAAGTTGTAACGTACAACCGTTAACTCGAAACGAAATCACAACATTTCGAGCACAGATCAACATAATATTATAGGAGTAAATTACTATGTGAATATAATTTATTATTATACATATATAATTACACGTTAATTGTTCACTGAATATTTAAAATATAACAAAACGTGTTAGTTAATATAATAACATCACTAATAATTATTAAATTAAGTTAATGTAAAATGTTATTCAATAACAGTCATATATTAAAAAATGTAATACAAAATAACATTAAAATAAACGATAACAATATTTTCTTGCAATATACATTACTTTATAAATACTTATTTATATTGTGTCAGCAAATGTATCATTTTACATAATGTAAATTGAAATATTTAATTTAATTTTCAATATCTCTCTCTCTCTCAATTTTATTGTTTTCTTATTTTATACATTTTATCTTATTTTATAATAGATACTTACATTTTTAGATGACTTGCTGAGGAGAATTTGTTGAAAGTTAGCGATATACGACCGATTTACACAAGACGCCGGGTAAGACTGTCGTTATATCTGTGTGAAAACCGGTATGTATTAGGGGAACATCATTAAGTGGGGAGACTGAAACAGTAGCGTCAAATATCTTTCTAGTCCCTTCAATCTTCTGGTTATACTGCGGTGGGGTCTACTAGATCCACTCAATTATATAGAACAGTAGAAATAGAAATTATTTTACATTCATTTTGTTTGAAAAAAAACCTTTATTCTAAATTTACAAGAAATAGGGAAATTATGAGAGACAAACATTATTTTATTTTATTATTAGTAGAATACAATCACTTGATTTTATTATTAAATCTTAGAGAAGGAATTGAGATTTTTTCAGCTAATATTAATATACTTTTATCATATATTTTTTATATCTGTGCTTGATTTAAGCATAATCTGGAAAATTATTTGACATTTTTAATAAAGCAACAAAAATAATTTATAAATTAATGTCTAAGTTTTAAATAATGTTTCTTTAAATAAAGAAACTCGTTTTCAAAAAACTATTTTTATCTTTTATATTTAAAGTAAATATTTCTTATATTTTACATTACATCATCATATTATTGGTTCGGTTGCATCATATGATAGTTTGATGCATCCTTACGTTTAGGTTCTACGTATCACAAGTACGTCTATGGTTCCATTTATGCTTCTGCGCAGTGAGATATCTCGCAATATCCATCCGTGACGTGGCGGTCGCACACTTGTACTCTTCTACTATAAATAATACACGTGGAAAGCGAATGAATAGTCCACGAAGTTGACCCTACCAAGAACGATAATTGGAAGTAATGATGATGCTGTTTATATTAATGAATCTGATGCAATTTTTTAATATTGCTACGAGATATTCTTATTGTCATCCTCATATCCACTTCGGTCATTTTATTAGCTCCATATTAGCTCTATTAGCTCAAGAAATTTTATCGAACGCGATAATATATGATCAAAAAAAGTAAAGAATTACAATCATTCATTATTAATAAACAATAATCGTATTATAACGAATATAAAGAATAAACGATTATTTCGATAACTTTTATTGTTCATTCATATTGTTCTAGATAAAATATATACCGAAATAAATTAATTCGTTTTATTATGTCTTTAATAAATATAAAAAATAAGAATAATAAAATGTAAACTAATTCCTATAAATGGCAAATTTATTATTCTTAAGATTAAACTTCTTTAAGCTTTAATGATAATAAATATTTTATCATAAAGTAGTACAATTTAAATATAGTAAAAAAGATGAATGGTAAAAAATTAAATTTTATCCACATGTTTATCAAAATGTATTAAATATACTAATTATGGTGTATTAATTAAATGTACAATATATAAAATTTTATTACAATTATCTTTATTATATTTGTTACATATTTCCGTATACAAAGTATATATCAATATTTGCTTTTTAAATTGGAAAAATATCCTTATTGTGTCAATGGTAATATGTGAAAATAATTAAAAGAAGATTATGCGATTTGAAATGATTATGTGTTTCTCAATATAGCGTTCTGAACTTTTAAGCGGAACATTTCTATTTATAACATATATACGACATGTATATTATGTGTATAAATATAAAAATGTATAACATAAAATTATATTTCAGAAATATATTTAAATATATTTAAATATATATTGAGATCCGATAATTATTTGAAATCTCATAATTTTTGATTGTTACATTAAAATTTATACATCTTGATTGTGAGTTATATAAAAAAATATATGTTATATTTTTAAATATATATACATATGTGTCACACAAATTATAATTATATTATTTACTGACTATTATTTAAAATTTATTTTATTTTATTTAATATTTATGATAACAATCTATAAAATTTATTGCATTTGTATCTTTTATTATCTGCTTTTTCACATTTGCATATTTTCATAGAGATTATACAAAATATATAAATACAAATCTCATAAATTTATACATTTATTCTACATCTTATTCTTATGAATATTATCTCGTTTTTTTATAATTTTTTAATATTTCATATTTAGCGAATAACATAAAGGAATGTTTATGGATTAGCGCTCCATTGACGCGGAATATTTTCGCATGATGATTAATTCTTCGGCAGTTAGAAATTAGCATGTGTGACCGCAGTAATTTGATTCTTAACAATATTTATAAAATTACCAAAATTACACAAATAACAATTATATGTGCATAATTATTAAAAATAAATATAAACTATTATTTCCACATAAGAAGTACAAAAGATATTAATTTTGATGGTTTAAATAACCATTATGTATAGAAATTTTGAGAGACGTGAGATTGAAGTAATGCTTTTTTACTCGCTCTTTTCTTTTTCATCGTGTGATTCTTGGTTTACCTCGCCATTAGCCTGTGGTTTTTCATTGACAGTATGAAGATACTTTGTGAGTCGAAGGAACTCAACTAAACTGCTAACATAAGATGATAAACCGTCCTTCTTGATGGTGCTCAGGTGGTTTACTATGTTTAGGTATACACGTCGAGCAGCTTTATTGGATAGGTGACCAACCGTTTGTAAAGTATGTAGCAATTTATCCTTCTCAACTGTGTTAATGTCTGTAATAAAATATTTATAGTTGAAATAATGTATTAAGAAGTAAAATATAAAAAGTATAAAGAGAGGTTACGTTTAAAAAAAATTAAACAACCGCGTATTATCTTTGCATTTAGAAATAAATTTGCGTAATTATTTAGTTCATCTTTTGTTTAATTCTAATAATATAGATATAAATGTATTATATAAATATGAATGTAAATAAAAATTATGTAGAAATTAATTACTTATTAAATACGAAATAATATTTTATTTTAAAACTTTAATAATTTTAAATAAAAAAAAACTTATTGATATAGAGAGAGAGAGAGAGAGAGAGAGAGAGAGAGAGAGAGAGAGAGAGAGATATAGAAAGTTATATGATTGGAAAAAGTTTAAATTATTCTTACATAAAATTTATATTAAAACAAAAATCAAATTTTAATGCTAATAGATGGTTATTCGGTGGCTCTCTACCATAATTACGACGATAAACTCTTATTGTCAAGTTAGCTACTTTCACTAACTTTCTCGTTGACTCGTAACACTATCGACTTTCATTACGCTGTAAAGTTACTTTTGCTTAGAATATTCTAATGTTTTAAAGAATAAAGAATTTAATTAATTTATGTATACTTTTTACATTACAATTATTTAGTGATATATATATATATATATAGAGTTTATCAACAACAACGGCCGTGTTATCTATACCTCTCACGGCCACACTGCCATAGCGTGTATCGAGTATTTGGTTGGCCGTATTCCAGCTGATGTCTCGCAAATTCGTTGCTTGTTCAAGAATCAAGTCGTTTACATGCGAAATTCTTGATACCGCCTTCTCTAAAATCTAAGAAAAAGTATATTCAATATATATTATTGTAATTACATTTTTAGTTTCTACTTTTAATTTATTAAAAGATATAAACTGAATATCAAAGAATAAAATATCAACAAATTAATTGAATTAACGACTCCTTATGTTTAATAAAACTTACAAAATTAATCAAGTATACAATTAATGACTATACAGAGTCAAACGCTATATAATATAATATACAAAATATTAACTAATAGATAATATAATATACAAAAAACTAACTAATGTTGGAGAGAATGGTGTTAAAACGCAAAAATATAAAATCTATAGTCATCCTTATATTCCAACAGAGGTAAGTCCAAGGAATATAAGGATGATTATAGATTTTATATTTTTGCGTTTTAACACCATTCTCTCCAACATTAGTTTTTTGTATATTATATTATCGCTGATGATGGTCCAAATAATGGGACCGAAACGTTCGAATTTGTTGTATTAAAGACATATTGTACATAATTTACGAACCGAAAAACAACGTTTGACTCTGTATAGCTATTAATTGTATACTTGATTAATTTTGTAAGTTTTATTGAACTGAATATGTTGTAATAAATTAATGTTTATTAATTATAATTATATGATAGAAAAAAGTTCTGTCACAAACCTGTGAGGGTTTCTCCTTCACCAACGGCACTTTTTCTTCAATTTTATCAAGACCAAAGCATAAAGTATTATCAACGAAATTAATGGGAGTCTCAAGTCTTTTCGCGATGGGTACAGCGATGGGCATTGCTTGTCTTGTCGCGGTGCTTAGTGAAAATTCGGCTGTGCTCAGAGCCCAATTCATCAATTGATACGAACTCTTCACTCTGGAGTACGTTTCTGCGGATTTGACGACCGCTAACTCAACAATGGGTAATTCCATTACGCGATCAAAGACCTTTAGATGGGGAAGTTGCGCCACCTCCGTCGCCATGCTTTCGCACAAGTTTATCACGAGTACGTCGAAAATATAATATCTGTTTAAATAAAAACGTACATTATAAGAGTGATTTAATTTTCTTAAAATTTCTAAAGAATTATAATTTTTATTAAAACTATATTTAAACGTATACATAGAAAAATGTAACAAATTATTTTAAAACAAACTAAAAACTTGACAAAATCGATTTATTTAGACATTATTGAAAATAATTATTGATATTCTTATGGCGCATTTAATGATATAAATAAATAATCTTTACATTAAACTTTCTAAAACTTCTCAATAAAAGTATTTTTCACGTCCATACATTTTTGCATTTTATATTAAATAAAATTTTAAATCATTCAATTTATCAAGTCACTCTACAAAAATGTTAAAAGAGAAATTCTAGACGTCGTCCTTCATGACGATAAACAAAGAGACATAAATAACATCTTTGAATACAGATACCATAATATTTTTCAGTTTGGCAAAGTCCTTGAAAAGTCGATATAATCTAAATATTTACGACAATTATACAAATTGTCAAATTAATCAATTATTTTTATTAATTGTCAAATCATTGTATAATATTACTTAAACAATCTCAATGCACTGTTTATTGTGACGAAAATTAAATAATAACGAACGATTTATTAAGATCGTATATGTAAATACACAACTTAATTGAATACTCAAAAGAAAATGAAAAATTTTCTTGATTAAATTTTCAATTAAATACACTTTGCAACTCCAAAATTGAAGAAATAATATATTTAAAAAATTATTTATAACTTCGTGTAATGAGTTATATAATGATATAACTTTTTACAAGTCACGCAAGAATTCTCGAAAATGCACATGTAACAACAGTTAAATGTTGTGAAACAATCACTTTCGCAACTTTCAATTAAAATTTTTTTAATATAACAGTTCACTGTAGAGTGGAGCTTCGATCTATCCTCATTCGGAAATCAAATTTCGATAAACAAAGAATTAAATATTACTATTTTATCGTAAAATGGTACTTACAGTGTTGGATTACACACGGATCAGCAGGTAGTTCTCCACTGATGTGACTTTCGAACGCGTCTGATACCTCGGCACGAATGCTGACTCCAGTCACGCACGTTGAACACTTATAACATGGAAAACCGCCTGCGCAGTAAACGTAGTTTGAATAAGCCAATACTGTGAACTGACCGAAGTACGACATCTGTTAACTGTGGTTAGCAGATACAAAAACATCCTCATGGTCATATCCTTAAATACTTGCTCCTCATCCCACAAGCAAAACTATTTTTAAGATAAGTTAAAAGAAATTAATAAAAAATATATGCACGTGTATGCATAAATATTGATTTTTTATTTATTTCTTAATTTTTTGTTTATTTCTTAATAACATCACATTTTTTAAATTTTTTATACAAACTCAAAAATTTATTATACAAATTTTAATTTTTTATATATTTTTTAATATTACTGAAAAGTTATTGTATAGATGTGATATTTTTTAAATAAGAAATATAAATATTTTTCTAGTATAGATGTTTCTTCTCACAGCTTTAATACAAATTTTTTAATTATCTGTTATATGTACAACATTCACTTTCAGCACCAACTTTCGAGCGTACTTCACACAATTACATCGTCCGACCGTGACTAGGTAATATCATTTTTTTCCAAAAAAAGCAGAATGCGTAACACACGCGAAGGTCAATCCCATAGAATAATATGCCATTGAAAGAATAAATGCTCTCCTTTTTCAAGTATATTGATACATACGATACTTCGATTAATTAATTTAAAAAAGTCAAAGTAAGACACTTTATTCCACTATGTAATTAAATAGAAAAAACGGATATTAATTTATATATAAATCATATATCAATATTAAATAATATGTGAAATAATTTATGCACTTTTAAATTTGCAAAATCACAGTTTTAAAAAAAATATTACAATTTTTCTTTGCTGCTTTCTGATGCTCCATTACTAAGAAAGATATTCTTATACAACATATTTCTTATACAGTACAATACTGTAAAAAAATACAATACTATAAAAAGGGGACATGGTTCTTTACTGTTCTTTTTCATAATCATGTCTCCTCAGTATAAAGTCCATTCCGTCTACATAGTCAGATAGATAATTTAACTTGTATTATCATTATTAGCGTGATTGTCGCATAAGCAGACACGGATGATTCAAAATTATCAAAAGAATTTAAACATCCGGGTTCGGTAAAAAAATCTTGGCTCAAAAATCGTCTTATTTAAAAGATTTTTTAAACCTCAACTCTTTAAAATTAACTATTTACTTAGAGTTTCATCATTCTTTTCTGTTATTGATATAATGCTAGCAAATTATACAATTATATAAGAATTTTTATTATTTTAATTAGTATATAACAATTGTTACACATTTTTTAAGTATTTTTATTAAATAATTTAATTAATTATCGTTAATTGATCTATGTGTGATATTTGATAATAGAAAATAACTAAATAACAGTTTAAGAATAACTAAAAGCAAAAATTTATTTTATACTGTTAATACTTTACTGTTAATATTTATTTATTTGTATTTTATTTTTACTATTCCTTTTTTTTCCTCAGTTTTATAATAATAATAAATGATTATAAACGACATTTCTTAGAATATGCACATATAATAGGTAGTCATTATACTCTAATTTTCTTAAATTATATCAATTTAAAAAAAAAAAATAAACTTACATAACAACTAAAAATTATGAACTTTGATATTGAACTACGAACAAAATTTATTAGATAACCAGTTCAAGGTTAAACTATATAATTATCACAATGATTTCACAATAAGGAGTGATTTGAAGCTGCTTTTATATTTACTCGATTAGACTCCAGAGTCCACAGCATGTATGTACATACACATATAAATACTATTTCATCTAGACAGTGCGATTTATAGATAAGCTTTATCACGCGTGAAGCATTGCATGAACATCAAATAAGTGCAATACGGCTCGTTCATCTGACCTCAATCATTTAAGTAGTTCCTTCGAGAATTTCGTAATTGCGTTGTGATCATAGTTCAATATATATTAATACGTAAACGTGTTAAATTATTTAAAAATTATTAAAAAATATATTATTAATAATACGTAAAGTATTTTTTTAAAGTTTTATAGTATACTTTATATAAAAAAATCTTAAACATGTAGCATGTTTATATAAAAATATATATGTATATTGTAAACAGTCTTCGCAAATATTATAATAAGAAAGGTTATAATATTTAAATATGAGTATTATTATTATGCTATAACAATATATATACGTTTTTATGTGTATTTATATATATATATATTTATATATACATAGAGAATAGATAATTTTACATTAGCTTCTATCAATATTCTACAAAACTATTAAATTGAAGTTATAAATAAGGCCTAAGTAAAAAATATAATAATAAATAATACTTTTAAAATTAATGTACACATACTGATCCTTTATTTTCAATATTAATATTTAATAAAAAAATAATCGGCATTTCATCTGCTGATATACGTTGAAATTGTACATTGCAACTTGCTTGAGACACACAAGATGATAGATTTAGAAGTTCTATAACATGAGGATTTCTCTACTTTCACTATTGAAAGAAATCTGAAGAGAGCGTAGTATTGACGGGATGTTAATATAAGACGCCTCACGTTTTCATCTAAGTATTAAAGTTTACGATTTAATATTTTAAACAATAATAAGTAATAGATTTATCTGATTTATAACGCACGAAATATTTAATAATATATTTTTTTAATAAATAAGTGTACTTTCAATATACATATAATACTTTCTTTAACATATATTTTTTATGTGATCGCACAAAATTGAGAAATAAAGAATATTTACATTGATAAATAAAAATGTAAAAATATAAATAAAAATTCTAAAAGATATTCTTATAAGAATCTAAAAATTAGTTAATTAATTATATTTAATTAAGTTTTATTTCATAAATATACAATTTTTATTGCTTTTAAAGTAAATTGGAGAAAAAATAAATACAAATTTGTGTGATGTTGCAATTAAAACCGCTCTTTATTCCTTCACTTACATTTAATTATCGTAGATGTTAGTTTTGACTAATGACTAACTTAAGAAGTACAAATTGAGTATAGCACGAGAGTACACTGTGCCATTGATAAAATATATTTTGTTGTTGTATTACGTATTGTATCACGAATACAAAATCTTAAAAAATAATGTTATAATCGCGGTCGATAAGATGTTATGCTAATCAATGAGCAGCGATGCGATTTCTATCCTCGTGTCTTTGACCTTGTAATTGAAAACCATACCAGAAGGGGAAGAAACTCGCACGTAGCAGTTTTCAGGCAAGACTTGTTACTCGATACCGTTTGCTGGAGGATCGGAAGTCTCTGACGTGTGGTTGTTGTGGTTCTGCTCACGGTTTTGCGTGTGTGGTGTCTTTTGAGGGCTAGGGCGACCAGCCAAAAATGCAGCAAATTTTTCCTGCAAGAAAATTATTATTGTATATACTACGATGAAAAGATGTTTACTTAATTTAAAAACATCTTCCGATAACTGATTTATCAAGATGGTAAAAAAAAAACTGGGATTTATATCAATATAAGTATTTTCACAAGGTTTTTATATTTTCTTTAAATAATATATGTACACAATTTCAAATAATTACATTACAAGAGCATACTTACCAACATTAAGTTTGCAGTTGAACTCAGCCTTTCAATACCAGAGCGTATAATAGATATTTGTTCTTTTACCGTATTGCTCTTACCTATAAGCGCAGGTACCATCTAGAAAACACAGAATAAAACGATTATTAAAATAAATATAAAAACATTTACTTACACGCGTTAAATTGTATTTTTTTAAAATAAGCACTGATTGAAGTTATATTTTATTTATAAAAGTAATATTTTATTTATTTCATGCGCGCATATATCTTATTCTTTGAATCATTTTTCTTAATTTGATCAACATGTGCGATTAAGAGAAAGTATATCCTTTCATAATTTTTATAATTATGCATTAAAAATATCGTTCTCTTTATATTGATTGGGTTACATAAATGCGACAAATCAAGCCGGATCACTGAAGTTGATGTAACCTGCAATGAAGCGTTTGCGACGTCAAGTAATTGATGAGAAAGCTGGACAAGTAGATGACTTAAACGCCTAGGAGTTCTCGCTGCCAATGCCACCGTACCATTCACTAGATGCACTATGCGCCGTGCAGATTCGCGCGTCAAAAGCACGAGGAGCTGTTCCAGCGTTTCTGGACGCGCCTGATTTTCAGGCTCAGGTTGACTCAATGAGGCCCATAACGCTTTTGCCTTTTGCATAGCTAATTTTGGGTCCGTGACTATCTGTGCATACATTAAAAATTGATGCTCGTTCGATATATTAAGTTCACGTAAACAGTTTTGAAATGGGCACGTGATTATATCGAGATCACGAGGAAAATCAATGATCATATCGTAATAAGTATTTAATGAGTTTGTATTGAGATTTAATATTCGAGTTTCTTTTCATCTCTGTATTTGTAAATATTTATTATGCCAAGATCACTGAACGTTCTCGTGATCTCGATCACGTACTTATCTCCGAGCTTATTCTCATCAAAACTTTCTTATCGAATCCATTTATATAGATATTTATAGATATTTGTATAAACAATTAGTTCTGAATTTAAAATACAAGAAGATCGATATAAATAGTAAAGTTTGAATATCTTAATTTATATTCTCACATTTTATAAAAGCATAAATTTTTATATTCTATGTATCGTGACCCATATTAAAATGGTTTTCCTAGAATCTCAAAACAATTTTGTAATGGAAAAATATGTCTGCACGATATATGCAAACATTGCTTTTAAGGAAGAATTTTAAGTAACTTATATAAATGTTTATAGTTATTTTTTTCGGACATAGAATATGTGTAAGATGTCTTATTCAGCGTCTTACAGCTACGACAGTAATATTCTTTTATGTCAGCGACTATTTTGCACAAACATCTTTCTAATCAGTTATAGCAGATATGTTACTATTAAAATAACTATTAAAAAATTTAAAAATGTAGGTGAAAGTACGGGAATTGTGAGCAGCGGATAATTGTGCACATCCTGATTTGGTACTTTTCCAATAGATAAAGACATTACCGTGGTGAAATTTTTACGCAGA